TGTGTGTGTGTGTGTGTGTGTGTGTGTGTGTGCGTGTGTCTGTGTGTGTGTGCTACATGTATGATGGCACTTTTTTGCAAACTGCTGTGCTCTGCATGCAGGAAAGCTAAAGCCATGAGTGTGTCATTTATACAGTCAGTGTGTACTTGGTGCTTTGCAAGAACTGTTTGGTTTTTCAGGTGATATGCAAAGTATTGCTAGTTTGGTTTACGGTTTTGAGGTTAGTGTGTAGAGTTTTGCAAAAATAACCTATAGTTTTAAAGTTTCTGCTTAAGCAATCAGATAAAAACTAATAGAAATAGATTATACTGTGTTGTTTTAGCCAATGAAATGTGTGCAATAAATATATACTGTGTCTTTATATAATCAAACAATTTCATGACAAGGCACACTGTACACACACGCTGCAGAGACACTGATGATAGCCACCATATTCAGAGATTAGGTTAGTAAAAAAAGGTAAAGTTGCATTGAAAATGGATTGAAAACAGAGGAGGACCTATTACAGATACTGAGATACACCTCAGTTGTAATTTTCCATGCCATGTTTTACCTGCAGGAATCACTCCAAGCCAGCCAGGGTCTACAGCTGGAACTTAATGCCGTCAATAGCATTTCAAGAAACGCTGAAGTTTATTTAGTAGATGTTGTTGTATTTAACCTTTGTAAAAACTTTTGGTGCCCACTGCTTTTTAAGCTGTCCACGCACGTTTATGAAGGAGAGGAGCAAATTTATTTAAATTTTATTTTTTTCAGTGATGTAGAGATGACCAGTTAAATTCTGTTGCTGTAAAAACAGTGAACGATGGAAAGTCAGAATAGTGTATTCAAAGTACTGGAGATAATCCTGCTGTGTAGGATTTTCATTTCCCTTTCAAGCAGACCCAAACAAACCTTTGGAATGGTGTTGCTATATGCAGTGTTTTTGGTCAGTCAGTGACTGGGTGTCCAGGAATTTTACAGGACTGAGGTGGTGACCCTACTGCAAACAGACTGAAAAAGTACACAGTACAAGAATGAAATGTTCTGAAAATCAGACCGTGAGACTAACAATAAATATTTAAGGATACCATCTTGGAAGGGAGGAAGGACAGACAGATAGGAAGAGACAATTCAATCTCCTGGAAGGGGGAGTCAGTTGGGAAAAGAAAGTTATTCTGATAAGAAAGAGACAGGAAGAGATACGGCACCTCTCTAAGATATGCTATCAGCACATCGACTGATTTTGTTTTCTGTCCAGTCTTTGTACTTTACTTCTGTGTGTGTGTGTGGGGGGGGGGGGTTGCAGATCCACAGCAGTCACTGGGTGCAGAGAGGGCAGGCACACTCACCCGTGCTGCTGTAGAAGGCCAGTCCGAAGGATGGGTGGAATTCTTCAATGAAAAACTGAGAGAGCAGGATCTCGTCCGTTCGCAGGGAATCATTCCCATTCTTCCAGTACAGCATTAGGTCGTTTTCGTTATATGCGTCTTCAGGAAAAGGAAGACATTTAGAATAGAAGAGAAGCCTCAATGAAAAGCTGGTCTGAGCAGAAATGGTGACAGGCCGGCTGGGATATGCTGAGGGCAGGCTGGGATATGCTGAGGGGGTGGGGGCCCAGTGGGGCAGATGGGGCGGAGGCCAGCAGACAGGTACTCACAGCTCTCCAACTCCAGAGAGCAGTTCTGCGTGTCCAGCGGAAACCTGCTGAAGTCCATGGAGCAGAAGGCGGTGACAGTGATCCTGCAAGGCCGGGCAGCACGGGGTGAAGGCCAGAGCGGGACCCAGGCAGGCGGCTCACCAGCGAGAGGCGCGTACCTGACGCTGTACAGGATGTTGCCGTCAGGGTACACCCTCAGCATGATGTTCTCCATGGTGGTGTCGTGGATGAAGGAGCGCTTGGAGTGCACGAAGAAGACGTCCGGCACCCAGATCTTCTTCACCAGCCGCGCATCAAAGGTGCGACTCTTGTTGCTGCTGGAGGGGAAGGCCAGCCGGTCGTCCTGCCAGTAGTGCCTCAAGTACAGGGTCATGGTGAAGTCCTGCAGGTCACACACATGCTACTGTAAATCAGACACAGGTACAGCACCCAGACCGCAGGGGGTGCCGTGTGACTGCATTAGGACATTCCCACGATCGAAAGGTTGCTGGTTCAAATCCCAAGTGGGCAGAGTGAGGCCCATGGGCGAGGCCTTTAAGCCCTAAATGCTCCGGGGACTGTCTGACCCCAATGTCACACTCAGCCCTGCTTCACTGCTACTCACCCACATTCCTGTTTATTTACACGGAGCCGCTCTGATTGCATTTGTAAATAAATGAGCGGCATGCCAACAGCAGGCGGCGAAGCTGGGGCCCTCCCCTCCTTTGGGTCTGAGGGGGCTGCGCTGCTGTTAACCTGGCCCCCCCCCCTTTATAAGTGGGTAAAGATGTAAGTAGACACAGAAGTAGAATGTCTGTTCTGGCTGGAAGGAAATGAGAAGCTGAATGGGACATTAAGGGCGGCCGGGCAGGGAGGGGGGCTGCGGCCATGCAGGGATTATCTGCAGAGATGGGAGGGTTGGGCTGTGTGTGGCAGCCACAGCAATGTACACACATTCCAAGGAAAGACAGACAGGTGGAAGAAATCAGCGAGGCAGCCCCCCCCCCTTCCCACCACTCAGCTAGTCAGCTAACTGTGATGGATGCTCTTGTGACATGGTGCATTTAATCTGGCTGCCTTCAAATGCGACCCACATGTTTGCCTGGCAGGCCACGTACACACCGTGGAATTTGCTAGATTCTCTCACACTGCACAGCTGCATCTTTGTTTTGAAACCAGTGGCCTGAGATGGCACACCCCTATGAAGACGCGAAGGAGCCTCTTACCATGTTGACCTCTGAAATGCTGTCGATGCTCTCCACCTGGACGTCGATGCCCACTGGGATCGCCGCACCTGCAGGGATGGGAAGACGGTCGCTCAAACTGGAAGGCATGCAAACCACCTACAGGGGAAAGCAGCATGCGGGTACATGCTACATAAACACCCGCAGAGTGCTCCGATCCCCGTGACAAGCATTCCAAGGGCAACACCAGCTGGACAGGTCTTCAGATACCTGTGCTGGGCCACAAAGCCTCTGTAGGAATGCAGGAGAACCCAGGGGCACCAACTCTTTCAGAGGTCTCCCTGGGATACGAAGGCCTTGCTAAGAGCTGAAGCAGTCAGGAGAGGTCAGGAAAGACAGAGACTGAGAGCCGGCACTTAAATACCTCTGAACTACAGGTCAGAATAGAGGAGGCTGACAGCAAGCCTCATGCTGTACACCCCAGTGAGAAGCAGGCTTCATGCTGTATTCCCCCATGAGAAACGGATCATGTTAATTATAAGCCAGAAATAGAACAGCCCTGGACCAAAGAACAGCTTTGTCACTCAGTGACAAAAGTCCTAGAAAACAGGACTACAGTACTGTGCCTTTAAGAAAGATGTTGCCGCTGTTATTAATCGATTAGTGCTTGTTTGTATAAAAACATTTTGAAGTGTTTTAGTCAGCTGAAATATTTTTGAAAGCTCTATTTAGCTGTCAGACTTTCCAATAACACAGAAAGTTTTGTGCAAATGCACAACATGGCTGCCCCTACTGGTTTGGTTAGCTTTAACCCAACACCGGTGTTGAGCTGACATTCCAGGTCTGATGTACACTCACGCAACCATGTGGTTTTGTAAACAGCTAGATCTTTGTGTTTCTTTTCACCTCACCTGATTGGCTGTTTCCCCCAGCCCGTGTAACCACTCCACTGTGTGGAGACCCTCCCCCTGAGCAGGGTCCAGCCGGAAGAACGCAAACATCCTGGGGAAAGCTCGCCCTCATCTTGGGCCACAAACACACACCCAGCAACCTTCGCTTAATTAAACAACATTTTTTACAAAAACAGCTTAAAAGGATTATTATTTAGACATTGATGAATGAAGAAAAAAGGGTTTGGTTTATGGAGATGTTCCCAGTTTCAGGGACCATACATCTTCTGTGTGCCCTCACACACTCAGCTGGAAAGGTCGTGGTCACATCTGCCTGAGGCTAGCAGCAAGCTAAGAAACACATCAGCAGGATCAGACCAGTTTCAACAGGACTTCCTGCTATTTTTGTCTTTTCAGCCTGACCAATGCCCTATAACAGGGACAAGAACAAAGATTTGCTGCTAGTAAGGGTAGAGTAATGACATCATCATTCATTAAGGGGTCTGGTGATGATGTCATCATTCAGTAAGGGGTCAGGCAATGACACGACAAAATGCTAATAACATCACCAAGCTTTTATTTTGAGTGTTAATATCATAGCAAGTGGTACTAGTAGTAGGACCAGGAACAAATAGCACTGCTCATTAGCACAGACACAGAGTGAATAACCTGCTTAGATGTGCTGGGATCTCCCTCTGTGAGCATGGCCCTGCTTCAGCCTGTACACAGAATACCAGTAGCCACTGTACTGCACACATTTCTGCAGACCTCCGAGGAAGAGGACCGGATTCCCATGGAGAGCAGGCTGGGAGCTTCCCGTGTGCCAGTACAGCTTGTGAGCAGTGCTGTCCTCGATGGGAGCTATTTTCAAACAGGTCTACGTGCTGTGCTGTGAGCGGTTCTGCCCTGGTTCCCAGGTGTAACGTGTTATCTCGCCGCTGTGACGGCTCACAGTCTGAGGAATGCCTGTCTCTCTCTCACCAAAGGACTGGCGGGACATCAGAAGATAGGAATCTCGGATGCACATCTGTGTCCGGGACAGCTCTCCAGTGGAGAGAGATTAAATTGCAGGACATGTCGCTCACACACGCCCCAGAGCCTTGAGAAGTAAGGTGGTAGAAAGAGGAACTGCAGGCCACAGGCTCTGTCTGCTGGCTTCTCACCTTGCAGCAGCTCTCGCTCACGTCTGGGTCACATGGCCTGTGTGGCGATGTGACAGCCGGCAGAGAGGAGAGCCCCATCTGCGGCGCAGTGTACGGTTTCACTCTCCTTTCTGCTGAGCTGACAGTGCCACTCTTGTCTTCATTCCCACGTGACCAGTGCAGAATAGGCAGAAAAACCAACACATTTACAGAGATCAGTCGCTATTCTTATGGCTGTATTTCTCAGTACAGTGCAGCAGGTCCCAAAAGAGGCACGGAGGGGGGCCGGGGCATGCCATGCTGGGAGATTCAGCTTCCCATTCTGGGTCACTGATCCATGCTGTGAAGGGGCTGAGCGTAAACACTGTAATGAATGTCAACAACAGCAGCAGAAATAGGGGTCAGCATGTGCCAATGGTGGCTTTGGTTTAGGACTTACTATGGAGGATTAATTTCAGGGCAGTGTGGCCTTGCTCTCTGCCTGCCCCCCGCCTGCCCTGAAGCTTCATTACTCTCCCTGCCACAGGTATAATCTGGGTTAAACCACCCAAACCCAACAATCTGGGTCACGATCTGGCCTGTCGCTGTTCCCTCTGGCACCCTGACCCATTTGTGAGAGACACCGAAACCACATGCAGCCGGCAGCTACACCTCGCAGCGGGAGCCCCCCATCCCCCATCGCCATCCCACAACGCACCTGCCCGGGATCCCCCTCACCTCCAAAGCCGGGCCTCATGGCGAAGTCGTGGTCTTCAATGCGGAGCAGCTGCTCGGACTTGATCAGCAGGGACTTGGTGCTGTCCAACTTCTTCATCTTGAATTCGATCCGCCTGAATCTCAACAGACAGTCAGTGTGACGCTCGTTCACATCAGAGCCTGACCACATCTGCTAGGGATGTGTACCCCCCCGTTTAATGGACTGTGCTCCCTAGAGAACTGCGCTAAGTGTTCTCTGTGGAGACTCCATATGCTGCTTTCTCCTTAATCAGCCAGAAGTGTGGCATGTCCTCACAACATGGCACTCTGAGGGGGCATCACTGTTAAAATAGCATGTCTCCCTGAGGCAGGAGCTTCCCTCAAAGATGGTGAGGGTAATTAAAGGCCGAGGCAGGGACCTCCTCCCACCCTCTCTCAGGTGGTGGGGCAGGCTGCAGCCTGTCTCAGCGACACCTGCACAGGTGAGGTGTAGCCGTGTTCCCAGTTTTTTAGCTTTCGGGGGGGGGGGCGTTTCTTCACCTCTGGGGAAGCATGATGGTCCCTCAGACCAAAACAACACAAAGTCACACACGCGGACTGTGCTGGGCGCATGGCTAGGAAGGCGCTGAGCCCTAAACACGCACCGTGTACCGACTCACTCAGATGGGCCGTAGAGGGTCGGCAGGCCCGCCCCTCGCTGTTTACCGCATGCGTGGGAGAGTTTGCCGTATAGGCCTCACCATTATCATTACAAATCCTGCAAAAATGTTTGGCTACCGGCATCGCAGCGCTGCCGCAGTGCCACCCTCCACTCCCACTGCCGCACCACCCCCCCGCTCACCGGCCGTGGTTGTGGCTGCTGCGCTCCCCCAGGTGCACGTCTTTGTGTTTCCTGAGGCCCAGAAACTGAGCTCCATCGACGGGGATGACCAGCCAGAGTCCGGCGAGGAGCAGCAGGTGGGAAGCCAGCAGAGAGACGCGCATGATGAAGGATGAGGAGGAGGAGGTGGCTGGCTCAGCTGTGCTCTGCTGGCGCCGCAGTCCGTATCAGGCACTCCTGCTCGGCTTCTGCCTGGCCGCCACCACACTGTTGAGTTCCCCCCGGTTTAGCCCTCCTCAGTGGCCTCACACTGAAGCCACCCTGCAGTCACCTCACACCTCCCTGCACTCCGCACTGCACACAGCATCATGGGAAATCTCCGCCCCGTGCCTACAGATTAAAGCCCAATATCAATTCTGCCCCACAGTTGCACAAGAATGGCATTATTCCCTAATCTCCTTATCTACAGAAATCTTTCAATAACCCACAAGCCAAGAGGGAGTCTCACGGAACAGTGGGCGGCCCAACGCAGAGTAAGCAGCATCCTAACCCAGTTTTGGGCGTTCAGCCCCCCCTCACCATGAAAGACGTTCAGGTCAGACTAGGACAGGCTGGGCTGGGACAGAGAGTTTGTCGCCCTGAAGGTGCAAGATTTCTCTGCCAGACACACACACATATAGACACAGACACGCACACACACGCACACACACACACACACACACACACACACACATATAGACACACAGACACGCACACACAACTCTGCGGGCTCTCAGTGCTAGGCAAGCCCCTCTACATAATCATCAACATAATGTGTGTGTTTTGGGCTGGTTCAATCACATTTGCTGTTAAGGGAGAGGTATACTGTAGGTATTTTGTGCGTTTACACGCAAACATACACAGTCCATGTATTCATATCTCAGTGGGTACTGTCCATTCAGTTTTATAAAATGACAATCACATTTTTATTTTTATAAAAATTTTTCCTTTTCCTTGTGGGGACTGAAAAATGCATAAAAAGTTATAGGTTTTTACCACATTCTAGGGATATCTGGTCCCCACAATGTAATAATTACAAAAATGTGCATACACGCACGCACACAGACACACACACACAAACACACATTTGTATTTTTGTGGGGACTATCCATTAATTTCTTTGGGCAAATCCCTAATCCCAAAAATGACAACCGTAACCCCTACCCAGCCCTAGCTTAACCATAAGTAACCAGACAAATCTTTTGGAATTTTTAAATAGCTGAATTTCCCCTTATGGAGACCGAAAAAAATGGTCCCCACAACATAAAAATAACAGGTTTGTGACATTTGGTCCCCACAATATAAAGTATATCTGAGCCACACACACACATACACACCAGGAGGGAAATTGATCATGAAATGGCATCCTTCCGGGAGTAAGATACACGGGGTCATGTGACCCTAATCTGTGGGATTACGGGTTTACTGGGGACAGCACGTGCAATGCCCCTGCCCTCCCTCACAGGGCCACTGGGGGCTCTCTGAGCGGGAAGCACAGCCCCGCACATCTGTACACTACCTACTGTGGCCAGCAGTAGGCACTGGTAGACGGCGGCAGCCAGCTACGCTCAGTGGCCTCATGTCAGTGCAAACCCAGCTGAGGATGGGACTCAGCAGGGATCAGTTAAGCAGCCAATCACTGACAGTCTTTGCATCTCTGGAGACAATGGGGATTCTGTTCTGAATTAGACATAGTATCATGACACATTTGAGACAGATAAGTGGACTGCTCCCTTCCAGCACATGGGTAACAGGGTCTCTGCCCCAGACTCTGACGCTGAGCCTAACCCCCACGATGATGGCCGTGGGAGCTGCGGGTCACATGAACACAGCCAGTGGCAACCAGAGCTGAGGCAGACAGCCCACTGGGAGCCAGCAGAGTGATGGACAAGGCTGGTACCAGCAAAGACCCCAGAGGCTGCAGGAGCCTCTCTGTTTCCCTGAGAAAAGCTTCTCTGAGGGGGTGTGGCTTTACTCACTCGCTCCTTCCCGGTTTGTGAGTGTGTGTGTGTGTGTGTGTGTGTGTGTGTGTGTGTATGTCTCTGTGTGTGCGTGTGTGTCTGTGAGTGTGAGTGAGCGAGCTAGCGACTGCCGGCATTTACATGACTGCACATGTGCGGCACAGACCCTGACGTGCCTCGCAGTGGACGGGGCGTGAGTAATTATTCCCTCAGCTGAAGGGGGGGGGGGGGGGCGTGGCCTCCGTATAACCTGTCAGCCTGGTTCACCGGCACGGGACAGAGCGGCAGAGCAGTGCCTCGACCGGCAGCCGCGCGGATACACCCAGCACTGCCACCACCACCACAGGAGGCACCCGGCTCACCTGCCTCACTCAGCCCAGGGAGGCTGCCCCTGGATGACCTGGGATTGCTGTAAGTCACCCCCTGGGGGGCGTCCACACCGGACTCCTGCTCTTCCTTTCTTTGGCTGTTTGATGCTCTCTCTCTCTCTCTCTCTCTCTCTCTCTCCTGAAGGCGGGAGGCATGGGGCTGTGTGACTTAGGCACTGCAGCCATTCCTCTGTGTCCCGGTCGGGTGGGATGGGAAACGTCTGTCCTGCGTGTCTCTGAGCTGCAGTGGCGAGCCGAACTTAGACGGGTCCTGGCTGCAACACTGACAGGGCAGATCAAACGGGGCTCGGCATCTGGCATGGGGATCGTCGGAAGCCCAAATCGCTAGCATGTGGCACTTATCACTTTGAAACGGTGTCTTCTGACTCCCACAGCTGGTGATCCCAGAGTGGCTGGGGAACACAGAGCTCCTTACTCCCATCTGGGGTCCCCTTGTCCCCAGGAGCCCAGCCTGAGGTCAGGGGCCGCTTTCAGTGCAGAGGAGCAGCAGCAGACCCCAGATGGCGGGAGGCTTGGTGCGGGCTTGTGTCTGCCTGTGGATCCTCACCACCGCAGACTGCAGGACCCCAGGTAAACCCTCGGGCACCTATAGGGGGAGCTGCGGTCCACCGGGGAGGGTCACAAGGTTCGGTTGAGGGAGCGGGCTGGCGGTGCAGGGGTTGCTAGGCGACACAAACACACTGAGAAACACTGACTGCACTAACTGAGGGCCACAAATCAAGCTTCGGAAAAGCCAGTTGCAGTCCGGTCTGCTCCTGCTGAGGGACGGGGGGGGCCACATGAAAGAAGGAGCCGCCGTCACACCTCAGTTACTGCAAGCAAAACTGGGGGGAGGGGGCGGTTTGGCGTTATTCTGCTCACAGCACACAGGGACTGCATACAGGTGGGGAGGGCTGGCACAGCACAGCAGACAACCGGCAGGACAGTGGCGGAGCGCCCCAACACGTTCCACCTGTCGGATGGTTATGTGAGTGAGGCACTCCCTCACACGGCATGTGGCAGGGTGCCGCCGAAAAGCTCTCCCGCGATTAGCTGGCCTTCACGTGCTGGGGCGGGGTCGCGGAGGGGGGCATGTCACGCCCCACCACTGCACTTCAGACCTGCAGCTCCCCGGCCCAAGCGGGGCAGTCCACACTGGGAGAGCGTGCCAGCGAGGCAAACACCAGCAGGCAACGCCTTCCCAGGGCACAGGCATTTCCTTTTTCAGGAAGAAAACGATTTTCTCTGTTTTACAAGAGCTTTAATTAGGCTGTTTATGATTCAGCCATGCAATCGTTGCATAGCAGTCCTTCCTAGGGGTGATGTCTGACCCCCTCCTCATGGCATGACTGGGGCCTAAAGGTCACTCTAGCTGAGCTCAGTGGGGCTCTTTGCAGCTCACTGTACTTTGGACTTCACTTCCTCAATGTGGCCAGTGACACCATCCCAGCAGACTGCATGACATTTACACATAAATATTTGCATTGCCACCCTCACTACACCCTTCTCTCGTTGAGAGCTGAATGGCTAATGTAGCAGCAAGTCCCTCTGCTTCAGGGCTCCACCATCCATCTTCTGCTTGATCCGTAGTTAACTAATCGAACAGAAACGGTGCGACGTCGGCTCAGTCGGCAAAAAACCAAACTCGATTCCCCAGACAACTCCTTCCGTGAGATGGGCGGAATAGTGCTTATGGGCCCAGAATGTTGCACAATAGATAACTTGACTTGATGAGGCTCTGTTTGGAGTGTGTGGTTAGTGTGTGTGTGAGCTACAGGAAGCAAAAAGGAGAGCCCAAACAGCCAGCCAGCTAAGCTCACAGCCCGGGTGAATCCCAAAAGGCACATGGCCTGTTTTACAATAGAGGCATCTACCCAAGCATTAACACAGCAACACACACGATCACAATCAACCACATTACCCTGACAAATGTAACACAAAGTCCAGGCATCTCCTTGAACTGAGCAAATGAAGTGATCTGCATTAAAGGAACACAGAAATGAAGATAAAAGTACTTTGAAAATTAAATTTCAGAAGGATCTTTTCCCCTGGAGCCACAGACACAGCTGGGAATAGTCATGTCGCTGCCGCTTAGTGTTAAACAAAAGAAAGGCCCACGTCACACAGTGGAGGAGACCCGAGAGTATTCACATGCAGTTACACAGCACCCTGCTGAGTAAACACACCTGTGGAGAACAATCAGACTGTCTCTGCTTCCCTGAAGGTATTCGGTGGCCCTTTGCTGTGAGAGACGGGACCCACCTTGTTTTTGAAGTGGCTGTCGTGTGATCAGAGCGTGTGCTCCTCTGTCAGACATCCAGGTGACCTGCACCTTCGCTCAAGACTGCCTGCTTCCCTGCATCTTTGAACCTGCGAGTAGCGTCAATGTCTCCTGGCAGCAGCAGGAAGACCTATTCCTCACATTCAGGCTCGGCGCTGGCCCAGAGGAGCTGCTGCTGCCCAGTTATGCAGACCGGGCATCACTCTTTGAGGAGCAGGTCTCCCACGGCAACGCCTCCCTGCAGATCAAGCAAACGAGCACTCAGGATCGGGGCAGGTACCGCTGTACCGTGAGCACCGACCGGGCGGTTGAAGACACCATCGTCATCGTGAGGGTGGAAGGTGGGTCCCAGGGGAAACCCTACTATGGCCGGCTTGAAACAACATGGTCGTCTGTATCTGATTATCAAGTCCATAAACACAGCACGGAGCTCTGCCAATAACTCAGCTCAGAAGATATACACTATATATACCGTAAATATATAAATGACCGAAGATGACACATGCTGTTCCCTGTCACTTTGATCTCTGCCATGCTGTTTCCTGTCATGTTGACCCCAGTCATACTAATCCCTGAAATGCTGATCTTTGTAACACTGATCTCTGTAATGCTGATCCCTATCACGCTGATCCCGGTAACTCTGGTCTCTGTAATGCTGATCCCTGTCACGCTGATTTTGGTAAAACTGATATCTGTAATGCTGAATCCCAATCACGCTGATCCCAGTAACTCGGATCTCTGTAATGCTGATCCCCATTTCACTGTTCCCATGCCCCTCAGCCCCCCTCAGGTCACTGACTCTGGAGATTACCGGCGACTGTCGAGCAGTAAAGTGCTCTTCTCAGGATGTCTATCCTGCCCCACATCTGAGCTGGTCCACGGAGCCCTCACTGCAGCCGGAGCTACTCAGGCCCAGCACACACATGGCAGCTAACAAGCTGGGCCTCTACTCTGTGGAGAGCAGGCTGAATCGGCCTAAGACTGGCTCTGGCTACACCTACACGTGCACCATCAAGACATCCTATGGCAGCCAAAACTGGATGGCCTCACTGAGAGACACAGGTAGACCTTTTCCTTAGCCATGTACACTCACACCATGTACCTGAGGGAGATACAATCACATATGCTTGCCCCAATAAGACATACAGATACCTGTGTGCAGTCACATTTCAGTAAGACACTCTCATTCCGTTGACCTGAGTAAGTAATACACTCACACTCATGGGAGTTTTATGTACACAAAAATGTTCTAAGGGCAGAATAAAAAATG